CCAATTTTTTTAAAAAATATTTCTAGTTACTGAGAGATGGGTTAATATCTAAAATAATATAATATTATTTTATTATTTATATCATAGTAATGAGTATTTTTCTTTTAAAATAGTTTTTTTATACAAATAACTTTATTATCAATAATACAATTATAAAATAATATTATAATCTTTGTATAGTAAGTTTATAATTATTATATTAAGCAAATATAATACATTTTAAAACACATTACTAATTTAACTATTAAAACATAAATATTATTAAGTACAGAAATAATTAAATTGTATGATAAAAAAATAAATATATAACACTTCACACACAACAACATATAATTTACATCATTTGTATAACAATCACCCTCTCCCATTCAAACTTTTCCTTTCCACACATCGTATTTTCTGCTGGGCAAACATAAGTGTCTTGTTTACACCTTGTATGGTACCTTATTCCCGAGTTCGTCTTACAAATACATAAATCAAGTCCAAACCCAAAAGAAAACATGACGTCATAGTCATTTTCATATAAGTAAAACGCTTTTGTTGCTTTGAGGGGGTTGATTGGGTACTTCTCTACTTGCGTTGTTTTAGGGTTTGGTCCCTCAATAACTTTGAACAAAAAGGCGTTTGGGTCTGTCAACCAAGCTTCATTCTTTTCCACTTTCAAATCTTTATAGCCACCGAAAATTAAGTGCTCTGTTGTAATTACGACAAACAGTAAATTACTCCTGCCAACAATGGTTTCGCAAAAGTTACAATTTTTTGCTGCGTTGTCAATATCACTGTCAAAAAGAACTGTATCAATTTTGCGAGAAGTCATTGTCTCCAATTGCTTGAAAACAACTTTGACCATTTTCTCTGGGTTTGAATGATTGTCTACACGTGAAGATAAAGTGAGGTGGCTCAAAAAATGTTTCATGTGTGTTTTTTTAAATTTGCATTTTCAAAAAAAATAAAAAATGAATTGTTGGATTAGTTTAGTAATTTAAGTCAAAGAAGAAACCTCTCTTTAATTTTTTCACAATAAAAAGGAATTATTATACAACCATTCAAAAACTATATTAAAAATATTCATATTTTAATTCATTTTGAACCTTTTTTACACAAAACAACAACCCGGTAACACGTACCGGGTACAATTATATTATTTTTTTGGAAAGCAACTAAAAACACAAAAACGAGTATAAGCAACAAAAGAAAAGTGTGTATAAAAGATTGATATGAAACTCCATCGTTTTTAACGAGAAAATTATTTAATAAGTTGATTTACTGACTATGCATTTATGAATAAAGGAATATAAAAAATAATTGGCACAGTTAGTTTTAAAACAATTAGCAATTTTTCACAACAAAGTCGATTTATGTTTCACAACAATTATTTTTGTACCTTTAATCAAACATGTTTCAATATATAACGAGTTTGTATCATATATAATAAATTTGTTGCAATATAAAATGAGTTTGTCTCAAAAGAAATATTTGTGCCAATATTATTAATTATTGTTTCAAAAAATATAGAATGTTTGCATAAATGGTTTATTGTTTTTAAACACATAATTACAAATCATAATAAATGTGGGTAAATCAATACCCAAAAATGATTATATTGTATTTCGGCATGGCGGTCAACTCTTTTGAACTTAAACATAGAGATGACATTGACCAATTTTTGAGCGTAGATTCAACTGTCTAACCGGATGCAAATTCCACAACCTAAACAATTCAACTTGCAGAGAAAAGAAGCACTGCAGATATTTCTTTATCACTTATACCACCACTGATTGCGTGATAATATATTCAATTTATAATACTCTGGATAAAATACTAAGGAACAAAATAATTATTTCAAAAAAAGTTCAATATTAATTATTATAAAAATTTAATTACAACGATTATTTTTTTTCAATAATATATATTTATTATCAAATTAAACTTAATTCACTTAAACTCATAAACGTATCATTGTTGATTTTATTTATCAAATATATTTTTATATTTTATTTAATGTTTTTATAAACAAAAAATACATTGTTTATTATGTTATTTTTATTAAATTATACTTAAAATATTTTAATAACGAATTTATTTGTAAATTAATTAATAAATGTTATTGTTTATATATTTTCGAACGTTTCTTTTTAAGAACACACCCAGGTTGTTTTCTACGAGATGGACATATCCAATAGCCATCATCTTTCTTGTAGTCGTTGTTTTTACATATTTGTCATAAATAAGTTCTTTCGTTTTTGGTTTTTTGGAATTAGTTTTGTGTGGACATTTTTTTGTTTTATTTTTTGTTTTTTTTAATTGTTTTTACTTTGTTTACTATTTCGGAACTATCAATTTCAATATTTAATGTTTCTCCTAATTCCTGATCATCACATGGATTCTTTTCAAACTCTCCTTCAATCGCCTCATTATCATCATTTATTACTTGTTTACTATCTGTTGTTCGATTTCTCAAATGATCTTCTACAAAACCAACATCTTCGATGTTTATTTCTTCAATATTCCAATCTCCAAGAACACATTCTTCGACCACAGCCTTTTCGAAAGATAATTCCAAGTTTTCTCTGGTCTGTATTTTCATAATAGCTTGGTAAAATTCTTCACTTGTGATCGAATTGGAATAAAACGAAGTGGTTGCTGCAAAAATTGATTTGTTTTTAATTACACTTTTGGTGTTTTTTGATGGGCGTTGGCTCATTTCTTTAACAACTCTAATTGCTTCAATTTCAATTGATACCAATTTCAATAACAGCACTTCAAAAGACGGCTTTTTTGAAGACAATCTTTTAACAAGAGCTGAGTGATAACTCTCACTAATATTATCTGTTCTCAACGACTGTTTGTACTGGCACCACAAAGGCAATGGCCATTTCCACATCCAATTCATTTCAAAATAGTCAACAAATGCTAAAATATTATTTTTTTAAAAATGGATCACACTTTTCTAATTCAAGTGTTATTACAATATCATTTTTTACTATTTCAAATTGTGCAATCATATCTCTTGGTTTAAAAAATGGTATGACCATTAATTTTTTGGCTGTTTTCCATATAAAACTCCCAGGAAAATAATACGGTTTCATTCACAGTTCATTTATTTTTCGCCATAAAATTTGGCAAAAGTGAAAATAACAACCATGACAAAGACATCCATACTTCTTTAAAGTGTTTAACACGGCTACATCAAAATCCAACATTACACTAGTCTTTGGTGAAAATAGGTGAAAATCAAACATTTGGAAATAATATGAATCTATTACATCGAACATTTTTATATATAATGATTCTGATTTGCTTTTCATTAAACAGTGAAACAAAGGAAGACAAACTCCATTTTTAGAACACAATGTATAGTATATAATTGATACCATTCATTAGGAGCAGAAGAAAATATTCCGTCCAGACATATATAAGTCATTTCTCTTCCTTTTAATATTTTTATTTTTTCCAATGATGAAAATATAAACAATTTTTCATTTTTGTAAGTCCAATAATCATTACCATCCAAAATACATTTTACTTTTCTAGACTCTTCTTCTTTTTTCTTGGTTTATGTATCTTCTAAGTGTTTCTTTTTGATAACAACTCTCTCCATATTCATCTTGATATAAAGAAACAAGTTCGTTGGTTTCCAAAAAGCAATTCCTACCTCTCTTAATTAATTTTGTTATTTGTTTTCTTTCTTCTTTTTTTCCATGTGTATTATTTTTATCATGAATATGAACTGAACCATTTTTGTATTTAACTTTTGTAAACACTTCGTTTTCTCCGATACCAACAGACTCAAGCACGTCCACACGAACCAAACACCCCTTTGTTTTACAACGGAAAGTTTTTCTTTCAAATCCAGTTGGAACAAAAGAATAACCATCAACTATTGGCAGAGGTAATTTTAAACCACATTGTGTTTTTTTCTGACTTATAAAGGTTTCTACTCTTGGTTCAGTCATTTGCTTTTTGGGGTTTTATTTTATAAAAAACCCAATTAGTATTTAATAATGTATTAAATATGTATAGTATTTTTTAAACACAATAATCAACTACAAGTATAATTTTGTATATTATAATTATCAAAGCTTAGTTAAAAAAATATTTGAAAAATATCAATTTTTTTTTAAAAATCATTTTAAAATAAAATCCAATTGTTTCATGTTTTTATAACTATTGTTTAAAAATAATTTACAATTATTTTATTTGTATATTATAAATTATTTATTATAATATTTTTTTAAAAATTATTAAATTTTTGTTCTAAATTTTAATTTTTAACTTTTATTGAAATGATTATGATTTTCTGGAGTATTTTGTCTTAACTATTTTTTCTTTATTATTTTTCCTTCCCCCTAGTAAAACAAACAATTGATTATCCATTGTCTTCTTTATTTTTGGTTTCACATGATGTTACACTTTCCCCCTCTTCTGTTTGGCGAATAAGAAAAAATGAAAGATTTATTTATGCTAAACAAATAAAACGATCAAACATGACAGATAAGCACGTTTTAGATCGACTCAATTTTTGCAAGAAACAGTTGTTTAATAAAATAATTTTAGCTCGCTGGAATAAAACATTATAATATTGGATAAAAGCCGTTTTTGTCTTTATTCAGATGGTAATTAGGTTTGGAGAAGATAAGGTGAGTTTAACGAATATATTTTTGTAGTAACTCCGAAATACAACGCGGGTGTTATGGTATGGGGTGCAATTGGCCACAATTTTAAATCAAAGTTAATGCTTTTAATTGTAAAAGTCGACTCAGAATCTTACGTTGAAATGCTGAAAACTTTTAAAACGTTTAAGAACACAAAAGAAGTTTATAAACATGGAATGACCTTTCAGCAAGACGGTGCACAGCCAAATACAGCTCGTTCAACAATGAAATGGTTTCAGGGTATTGACTCATCATTGAGAGTCAAGTTGCTTGACTCATGGCCTGCTAACCGTCCGGATCTTAGTCCGATTGAACATTTGTGGCATTATCTTGATATTCTTATTATGAAGGTGAAGAACATCTTTTTGAACGTTGAAGAATTAAAGCAAACACTCATTGAAGCGTGGGAATCAATATCATTGGAAACAATAAACAATTATATTGATTCAATTCCAAAACGATTTAAATTATGCACAGAGAATCAAAAAAAAATTTATAGGACATTTGCTTTAATTTATTATTTTTGGTTTTTAGAACTCGAAATTTTATTATTATTTGTATTAAACACATCGAATTCGTTTTTTGTTTGAAATAAAAATTTAAAGAAATTGATTTTTAGTATTATGACATAAATGATCCGGTACAATTCACTGAGATGTTTGTTGTTGTGTAATTAGCACAACTATACTGTGTGTGTTGTCTAGTAGAATATCCAATTTTTGTCCAATCAAATAACGGGATCGGGTTTTTTTGGAAAAGGCTGGCTTATATTCCAATAAAGTCCCGATATCGTACGAAAATAATTGAACGGGATTGGTATTTTTTTCAAAATAAAGTCGGTACTTTCGATTTTTTGTTTTTTATTTTTTTAGGAAAAAACAAAAAATAAAAAACGGGACTTTAGGAAGTTCTATAAATACGGCGGTACATACTTTTGAACTACAGTTCACAAAGAGTGATATCAAAGTCACTATAAAATTTTTTAAGTCAACATTTGCTGAATCAAGTACAACTCTACAATTTATGAAAATGACGAATTCAGACATAAGAATTGAGGGATTTCAAATTCAGTCACTTGAATTTGATAATTTTAAGAACTTTAAAGATATCATTCCTTGTGTTGTATCATTTCTTTTACCAATAAACATGAAAAGACTTGAAACTGTTTTAAATATGAAAAATCAATACAATGGGTTTGACATTGTAGTTCTTGAGAAGCGTGAAAACGTTGAAATAGAAGTCGAAATGGCACAAATTATCA